AAATAAAAAAAAAGGTGAAATCATGTTATTCTTATCGAATAGCGTATTGACCAATCACGATAGAGCCATATGGTTGTAAGGCCATAACATAAGCAATAGTCAATTCAACATGTTAATTTCCTTACTGCCTTAAATTTTTTGTCATGGCCTTAAGAACTTGGCTAATCAGTTAAGTGTGAGAAGAATAATCAACTGATTGGTAATATTAATTAATTTTTTAAGGCTTACTGCTTACGATTTTATTATAGAACAAATCTATTCTACATTTCAAGTACGCTGGATTCGTTCGGAGCGATCTCGAACAGCTCCCGAGAAATAAATAAATAATGACTGCGTTCAACAAAAAAAGCAGCTTTGCAACTGTTGTAAAATTCTTCAATATGATTGGTTTATACATTTAGATTCATAAGAAACCAAAAACAAGAACCAATTGTATTGAAGAATTTTATAATAGTTCCAAAGCTGCTTTCTTTGCTGAATGCAGGCTGCATTCAATGGACTCATCAGTATTGTACCATTGATATATTCTTTTAAATTATTTAATCAGCACTTTAGATCTGGAGGAATACATCAATAGCAGCGAGCACTCAACTGTGAGTCCGCTAAACGCAACCAATGCTAATGTTGATTATTTGTTTTTGTCTAATCCACGTAACAGTATGGAAAAGAACCACCATAACGTGGACATTATCCTACGAAGTTTGATACACGAAAAAGACCAAGCCTTATTCTTGAAAAGTATTGCATACAAAAACTAGAGAAATGCTATAATATATGTAATACATATAGTATATATATTATAGTATTTCCCTAATTTTTTGTATGCGATACTTTTCATAAATAAGGGCCCAAGAGCGCGATTCCGATTCTACAATTCCATTGTAGAATGGGCTTAACTGTCTTTACATGCCTACCGACAGTTGTCGGGATCGTTGCGCAAATATTTTATATAGTGAAAAAGCTGCACAATGACCCCGACAACTGTCGGTAGGCATATAAAACAGTTACAGAATATAGGCCCAGATTCAAGAATATAGGCCTCTATTCTTGAAAAGAAATTATACCTATACGAAATTCTAGGAAAATACTATAGTATACGTAATGTATACTGTAATTTTTTTCTAGACTTTTGTATATGTTTCTTTTCAAGAATAAAGAATATGGTTAACGCGATTCTTTCTTCTAATTAATCTATCAAACACTTCAGAGCATTTGTAGTGAAACTTTGATCATAGCCAGAGGCACAGGATGTCTACTCTCTCAGGAGGATGTTTCTTTCTGGGTCCATATTCTGTACATATTTACCGACAGTTATCAGTATCGTTAAATAGTAACAATCAATGAAAATCGCGCTTTTTTCCTAAGATAGCCCTTGCCATTGGCTATCATTAAATATCGACATCGACAACTGTCATAGACGCATACAGAATATGCGGTCCCTGATAAAAATAAAATATTGCGATTGATAAAATGCCCAATGTGTATTTTATCAAATAGCACAATAAAATATATTTCACGATTTAATTCGTTTCTATTGTATTCATAATCAGGCCTTATATTTAAGGTTTTTTTTAAATTTATCTTCAGATGCTCTACGAATTATTTTGGCTATTGAGCATCTAAAGATAAAGTTAAGAAAGCCTTAAATATAAAATCTGACTATGAGTACATTTTTATTAAACGTATATCTTTACGTCGATTTTTGTACAATAGCTTTAAAGTGCACTGAGTGCGCACTAATTCTGCCAATAAAAAACGTTATATAAGGCACTCGAATAATTCGGGTGAGTTTCCGAACGCAGTCCAGAAGTTTCGATGATCGACGTCCTTGAGAGGTAGCGTCGTCGCGCTTTTTTCCGCACGACAAATAACGTTAGTAGAATGACAATTCTGCGCCAATACTGCGTCAAGTCGCAGAACGAGTCACAAGAAGATGCGCGCGTTTTTGCAGATAGAGGGAAACTGCGGCGCACGATTGGTCAGCGCCGCAAACTGGTCGACATTCGTTCGCGAAATGTGTCATGTGACCCGTTCCTCTATTTATGCAAACATCACCGATCACTCAGACCCCGTAGTCTCGTGGCAAAACAATAACAAACAACACACGTCGTAACATCTCCGCGTTTCGACCGATTTCTCGCGCGATTCTCCCGCAAGTCGTTCACAAAGACGTTCACGTGCAAGAAAAAGCCCGTAGCACGAGATTTGCACGATTATAAGCGTGCTCGCTTGACGGCGATCGAGGATCCTCTCGCTTCCGTGAAACCCGTTCGCCGTCGCGGGCGCCACGCGAGTCGGGTCTACTCCGACGATTCGGGGGGGAAGAAAAGTGAAACCTACTCTGGCCTCGTCGCGAGATGCTGTCAGCTACGAAAAATGCCTACTGACAAGAGACGCGCGATGTGTGCGTACTGTGTCAACTGTGTGCGCGCGTGGACCAATATGTGATTTTCAATCTGTGCTGTGCACATTGTCACTCTCTCCGAACAGGTCAGCTCCCGTTTAAGTATCGTTTAAGCGGATTAGGAGACTACAGAGTAGCCGTTCCCTCGTGGCCGAGCCTTTCTATGCGCGAGGCCACGCGAGGCTGCGAATCACTGTGAATCGATCGAGCGATACCAGACGTGAACGAGTCAAAATCAATCAAAATTGTAAACGGTGCAATTCGCTCAGTGAGCGATAAGCAGCGCGCGTTTCCTCTGTCTCTTTCGTTATCGTTCCGCTGCGCTGAGACATTGTCCAGTCGCTGTGCCGTTGTAATGACGCGTTGTAACGCATGTAATAATACGTAACGACTGTCGTCGCCTGCAACTGCACGATATTCGCCTCTGATACATACAAAGTCGAACGACGAATAGATTGAGTTTGGGACGATTTGTTTTATTCAGCAAACTTTTGTGTTCCGTAGACAAACAATTTCCAGAAGTATAATTGTTGACATTATTATAGCGTGTTCGAAGCGCGCGCGAGAACTACGTTCTCTGTTGATTTTTCGTCAACGCATTTGTGGCTGATGGATGACTCCAAGTACAACGACTTTTCACTATCTAGCACAATGGATAACATAGTGAAGCAGGAACCTGCCCAGGAGATGAATTCAGCGTCGGCATCTGTGCCGATACCGGGAGGACACAGAGGTACCACGCGAGGAACTTATGATCAGTTCTCACCGTCCCCTCTAGCGATATCCTCAGGATGGGACATGAGAACTGAGCAAATGGAATATCCTTTTAAAATGGACCCAGATCAGATGGACATCTCGTTTAAGATGGATGAGGATGACATATTTCAGGTGGACACAGCTGAACTTATTCAAGGTCCCACTCTGGCCGAATTGAATGCCAATGACTTGCTGGAAGATTTAAATTTTGATGATTTGTTATTACCCGAAGGAAGAGTACAGCCGATAAAAATGGAATATGCTGCTCCGTTAACTGGCTCTCTGTTTAGTAGTAGCATAGGATTTGCGCCTAGTAGTTTTCCTCAATCTGGAGTAACTCACCGTAGTTGTCCCACATATACAAATACATGTGGCTTTAATTTAAATAGAAGTTCAAATATTGTGGATAATGCTGAAGCTGTTAGTCCTACTGCGTTTCCTAGTCCAGGCACTAGTAACATTGCAGGTATGGTCAAAAAACAAATATATTTAATCTTTTAATAACATTTAATAGTAAATAATCTTTAATAACATTAAGCAACAATATTTTTTTTACATGTAACAGCAAAAACAATTAGATAATAATGTTAGTATTGTGTTTTTGATGACTTATATTTGTATTTTTACGATTTGTTTGTTGATAAAAATGATAATGTATTACAATTCATTCAGGTAGTTCAACAGCAAGCTCATCGACTTCACCACATCCTGTAACTCGGCCCATTGGCTCATCTACTTTACACGAGCTACTTATGAAAAGAGGTGAAAATCCATTTAATCCAGTATCTAATCAGGCCGATAATAGCTCTACGATAGGTGGTAAACCTAAAATTTCGAGATTGTCTATGTCTGCACCAACGCAGACAATGGGACATTTGGATCATATCTGGGCCCACAGGGAACCACGGCAACATCTCTTGAGTACTGGTAGCTTGGTAGAGGCAGGATCGACGAGTAGTCTGAGTACTGGAGGTGCTCTTAGTCCAGATCCACTATGTATTGATCCTCTTAGTCACGATGAAGGTTATGAAGATAGTGATGATGATAGTGATCACTATGATGACTACAGCAGTGATAATGGTATATATATTTATTAAGAAATATAGATATATAGTATACAATATAGTCATATAATTTATAAAAAATTATTTTTGTGTACAAAATAAAAATCGATTGATTAAATTAATCTCATATTTTTATTAAATATCTTGTAAACTAAAAGAGAAAGAAATGAAAATGTAGCTATATAAATCATCGTTTATCTATCAGATACAGGTGGAAGTGACGGCGAGGAACAAAGTAATAACAGAGTAGGAACAGGAACTACAGAATTGGGAAAGGAAAGACATAGTAAGAAAGAAAGATTTTTCTGGCAATATAATGTTCAAGCTAAGGGACCAAAAGGACAGCGATTAATTGCACGAGCGCGTTTGGAAGATCCACATGTCTTGAATGAAGCAACTGATCCAGTATTTAGTCCTCATTGTGCTCTTAGAGGAATTAAACATAGTGGAAAGGCACGAAAAGGCGACGGAAATGATCTTACACCGAATCCTCGCAAGCTCCATAACATCGGACGAGAACTAGATAAATTAAATCGCATTATAAATGATATGACACCTGTTTCAGAATTACCTTTTCCAGCAAGACCAAAAACGCGTAAAGAAAAAAATAAATTAGCTTCACGAGCATGCCGTTTAAAGAAAAAGGCTCAACATGAAGCAAATAAGATAAAGCTGCATGGACTTGAAGCAGAACACAGTTGAGTATCGAAATAATAAATACTATATATTGAAACATATTATATTGAATAAATTGAGAAAAACGAATAATTCTTTTATTAGGACGTCTTATACAAGGTATATCACAAGCTAAACATACACTTGCTGCTAAATTAGCTGAATCCAATCCTGACACTCAAGAAGAGCTTACACGACAAATGGAAAAATGTTGCAAGCTAGCTACCAGTGAGTAATATTAATTTATATTTGTGTGTGTGTGTGTGTGTGTGTGTGTGTGTATGTGTGTGTGTGTGTGTGTATGTAATTTCTTAGATAAAATGTCATAAGTATGACATACAGATAAAACATACAATAAGCATACACATATTAATTATTATTATTTTAATACATATGCAAATTTCTGATTGCAGAAATGCGAATAGCAAATCATTCAACAGATTTTGTGAACAAAGTATTGGAGAATATTAGAGCCGGTATTCCTGATGGTGGCATCGATAATTTTTAATAATTTTCCTATAAATATGATGTCTACGCGTGTATATATCTTTAGAAAAATATGCTATGTCTATACACACATGTAGGGTAATATTGCTTTTTATCTTTAAAGTTGCTGTTAAATGCTTGGGAAAGCAGATTTACAGTAACTTATTAGTTAACGTATAATTAACATATATCTTGTATACGTTATTTCCGAAAATGTTTACTGATGTAATAAGAAACGAAACCTTGATATACGTATTGGTTTATCTTTTAGACTTTCAAATCGTTAATTTTTTTTACAAAAGTATCTGCGTTTTCACCTATTGTATATATTGGTCAATCTGTATATAACATTTTTCATGCATCACGTACGATAGTTTCAATAATGTATTTATGCAAACAAAGGACACAATTTTTTTGACAAATTAGCTGCAAAGGTATCATTTGATTAAAAAAAGAACGGTTATATATCCTGATGAAAGTGCAAAGAAAAAAGTGCCGAATGTCACTTAATTATAATACATTAAAGAGAGATGATATCATCAATGTCCATTATCAATCAACGTTGCACACGTTGTGTGATTCTAAATTTAATCTTTAACTTACAGTGAATGTGTACAACACACAGCAGAACTTTTGGCCTTAGTATGGTAAAATTGATATGTTAAATTTAATTATACCGATTCAAAAATATTCAAGATGTCAACGATTTTTTTTCGAATAAGTCTAATTAATTCCATTTTTACGTAATTACTAATCAAGGTTTCGGAATTATTGATGGCGGCTGATGCAACAATACTAAGAATTGACATTGATGATTTTTTTTAACGTTCAGACAAGTTTTAATCATAATAGTAAAAGATTTAGAATGTGCATTTAGATGCACTTAGAAATGAGCTTTGAATTATATAGTTGTTTGCTGTTTGCTGACTCGATCTACCTCAGAACGAAACGCTATACCTACGTACATATATATTTGGATTATATAAAGATAAAATAATAATGTATGTGGAAAGATTGTAATCGTGGCGCGAGGTGGAATATCATTGCTTTAGAATTTTAGAGAAGAGAGGGTGGATATAGCGAAGCATATAGCGATGCATCTCTTCTGTAGCGTCTACATCTCTTTTAAACAATCTCTTGAACGATTGTTTAGAGCGATTTTACGCCGCGATTAGAATTATAATTATATTTTGCTAATCACTAATATACACATACATATATTTTAAATATGCAAGATGTTAATTCATATTATATATTCATACTAATATTTTTTTAATCGATTTTTGTATGTAAAGTTGCGCTGAAGATCATGTTGCGAAAGAAAAAAGCCCATGTGGATATATAGTCATATGCTTACATACATATATAAATACAGATGTTGTATAATCCTTATCAAATCGTTATGCAATCTAATTTATTGTTATGCGGGGTACTACCGTAGGTTTCATTCGCTGTGTATGTAACGTTGGCAAAAATTAATATGTGTAATATCAGTGTAGCACGAGACGTCACTCCGATGATATCACCATAATTACAAGTGTGCGGGAAATGTTGCGTGTAATAAGAATATTTCTTTCTTCTTTCATGGTGTGCAATACGCTCGTTTGCGAAAAACGCCACTTTATTGTTTTTCGACAACGATCCCAATTTTACGATAATGTGCTTGTGTTCGTTCGTTCGCTCGCGCATTCGTTGCCTCCAATCGCGATCCATATAATCTATATTCATCGAGAAGTGAGGATAAATGCGCACAATCCTTGTTATCGCGTGGGTCAATGTAAGATATAAAATTGCAATTAGCGTGCGAATGCATTCCTGACTTAATCGTGCTAATCGAGTTATGGCAAACGACCCGAAGATAAACTGATCAGAATATGTAATGATGATTGAATTATTTTTATTCTAATAAAAAAACACATGCGAACGGCAAGCGGATTTTTCATTAGAATTATTTTAAGGGTAATATATATATGTTTACAATGTTTTTCTTAATGCAAAATTATACGTGCGATCAATGCAAAATTAATAAAATTTAATACACAAAATGGGTGGAAGGAAAGAAGAGTTTGAGATATATTAACTAAATTTAATTAAAAGAAATATATATATATATATACACACACACACACACACACACACACACACATACACATACATACACACTCACACATAAATATATATACGAATATTTATGTAAATAACGAGATTCTATGAAAGAGACAATATGGCATTATTCCATGGTCATTAGTCATCGGACGCGTCCGATTGGTCATTCTCATTTAATTGGTATGATTCGACTCGTTAAGTCATCCGATTTCCGCATGTTTTCTGATTCGAACATATAATATCGATGGATGTCACGCGCGCGCTTTGTCAATCTTTGCAAATTGATCAAAATTGAGACGAAAACAATTGGCATGTAACGCGATATTCATCCATAAAACGTGGAACATTCATGCAATATTTTTACATTTTTCGTTGCGATATATAAATGCGTAAAGCATTTTATAATTGTGTATTAAATGTAGATACATATTTTTAAGGCAAAATTGATAAAAAAATATGGATGATGAATTCTTTTGAAACATTCGAATATCCTAGATGCCTTTGCAGATAAAGTTACAGTAAAGTTGTAATAAAAAATTTATGGAAAAAACTTTCTAGAGTTTAACAGTCTTGTGAATTCATGCAATTATCAAAATTTGACTTGAGTAATTCATATATTTAATATGATATTAATTTTATGATTTATTACTATTAAATATATATGCATGTATGATCCTTAGTTTGACTATGTCACCTGAAAAAATATCAAAACTTGATATTCCAGAATAAATAAATTGAACCATATGAACATCCATTATAAGAAAATCGAACATCTATAATAATTAATCTATATTATAAGAAAAACAACCAACATATGAGATTTGATTTAATTAGATGTCTACCAGTTAGATATATCAATATCAAGCAAAAATATCAATTATGAATTCAAAAATTATTTATTGAAAAACTAATTATATTTATTCTGAATGAATAGACATTATATTAAATGTACAGAATAAAATGAATAGATTTTTTCTAAAAATATATTTTCTAAAAAGCTAAACAAAGCGACGATAAAATAATCCTAATTTTTTTTAATAGTAAAGCTAGATTTCATGGAGTTTCGGCCAATACTCCAATTTCGATTGACTCCGATTTGCTCCGATTTGCTAGTTACCGACAGTCGGATGTCAAATACAAGCTGAAATATAATTGGAGGAAGGGGATATTCCAAGCAGCCACAGCATAGATATGCTTGTTCTCCTTCTCGCACGTATTGGCCTGTATTACGCGCCAACGGCCGAGAGCCGAGACCGGACCGGAGACGGCGAGACGAGACAAGCCGAGAGCCGAGATCAGATCGCCAAGTCATATTGTCGCATGACGATCAATGACGGTTTTGCACGGCACGTAAACGCCTGCATGCTCGCAGTTATGCGCTTCCATTGTGAAAATACAAGTGCTTTATGGTGATAATATGTCAAAACCAAACATAAGGAAAATAACGGCTGACCCTACGAAATGTAATACAGACTCTTCACGACGGCCGAGTGTGTTTGAGAGGTTGGGCACCAAACCAGCGATCGCCGCCGCCGCCGCCGCCGCTCAAAATACATCGGATTATTGCAGAAATTGGGCCCTCAATGGTAGTTGTTCCTACGGAAAGAGTTGCAAGTGAGTGCCGATTTCATTTGTCATGATCCTTTGCTGAAGTACGTAGTAGTAGTCGACTGATTGATTATTGCAAAAATTTACACTTGCAGTTTCACATAAAAAAAAAAATTTCTCTTTATGATATAAAGACAATAGTAGAAAAATTTTTGCAACAGCTAATTATTTTACTTTATTTATTGTTAACTAGAATTATGATTAAAATGAGCTCTATGATAGCTCTATGATATTTTATATTTTCTCCAATATTTCGAACAGCTATTTTTTGATTTAATAATCTTATTTATTTTGCGTAATACAATATAACCGAAGACTAGTTTCTCATAAAGATCTGATTTCTGATTTAATTTTTTTATTCTTTACTAGAACATTATATTGCTTATTGGTCTAATGCAATTTCTCATTTCTCTTATTTCTTAATTAGATACGCAAACACACACACATTGATAAGCCCATCCAAGCGTGCTAAGAAAGATAATGCGATCGCAGGTACATCTGGGGTAAGTTCATGTCATATTTTTCTATTTAATAACAATTTTATTTGATATGCATATACATAACGTTTTTAGCATTATAATTGATAAGAGTAAAAATTGGCAGATGACTATAAATTATAAACTAAAAAATCAAAATTTTTTCTTTGATTCTCTCGATATTACAGCTCATTGCAGAGGATCCCTTCAAACGGCTCACATCGAAGATCGTGAAAAAGGCGTCGCATAGTCCAGATTTAAACATAGAAGAGTGGAATCAGACAGATCTCGAATACGAGGACGAGAAAGTATTGGAGAGACGGCGGCAATTGATACAACGGGAATTGAAATTACAAATGAAGAAGGACAAAGAAGTACATGGCAAGGATAAAGTAAGGCAGAAGAAAAAAGCGATGAGCTCCTCCTCTAGTTCGCATACATCCAGCACGTCTAGCAGTAGCAGCAGCTCTAGTAGTGAAGACTCCTCTTCTACATCCACATCGGACTCGCATAAGAAAATCAAAAAGATCAAGACTAAGAGACATCATAGTATTTCTGCCGATTATAGTGAGGACAAAGAAAGAAAGAAAAAGTAAATACTCATTTATAGCGTATTTGGTCCGAGTGAGTTTGCACCAATCTGGATTGGATTAATGATGTTGTGCTTTCCTATTGGTAGAACATATAATGTCAACTAGTAGAACGTTATTCAATTTAAATCGGTGCAAACCCGTTTGAGTCGAAAATGCTATTAGTATTCTTTGTACTTTATAATGTATGAATATATAATTGCAAGTATTTGTAAGCAAACAAATTACTTGTAGTTTTATAT